GTACCTCCCGGCGTAAACAGTATAACTTCTGTTTTATTTTCGTTAAAATGAAGGAAATTTAGTGCCATCCAGGCTTTAATTTCCTCAAGACACTGTAATAGGGGTGCTAAAGAGCAAGTATCTCTTCGTTTCAAAGGTAGATAAATTTGCGTATCGTCTGCATAACAATGAAAAGTAATACCAAATTTCCTAAAAATATGTCCTAAGGGGAGCATATACAGGGAGAACAAAATAGGCCCCAAAATGGAGCCCTGGGGGACCCCACACGTGAAAGAAGCAGTTGAGGAGACAAAATCTCCAACGCGAACTGAGAAAGTTCTTTCGGACAAATAGGATCTAAACCATCCCAACGCAGTACCCTTAATACCAACACATTGTTCTAAGCATGTAATCGAGGTCTTATGGTCTACAGTATCAAATGCAGCCGAAAGGTCTAGTAGAATTAAAATCGCACAGTCCCCTGAGTCAGTAGCAAGTAACAAGTCATTAAAAACCTTCAACAGTGCAGTTTCTGTACTGTGTAAAGATTTAAAACCAGACTGAAACACTTCGTGAATACCATGTAGATCTAAAAATGAATTCAATTGTCCAAATACTACCTTCTCCAGTAGTCTGGAAAGAAACTGAAGTTTTGAGATAGGTCTAAAGTGAGCAAAGACTGATGAATCCAAGTTAGATTTCTTGATTACTGGTTCCACTGCTGCATGTTTAAAAGACTTAGGTACGACTCCCGAGGCTAGGCTACTATTAATAATTGCAAGAATTTTAGGACCAACAGTTTCAAATGAGTCTTTCAGAAGACAAGGAGGAACAATATCCATGCCGCATGAGGATGATTTCATTTTAACAATGATCTCTCTCAATGAGGTAAGAGACACCGGCTCAAACTGATTAAAAACAGCAGAACACTCAGTGGAAATGGATAAAAAAGTAGATGGGAGAGAAATGTTAGCTCTAACAGCCTCAATCTTATCCATAAAAAAGTGTAAAAATTTCTCACACATTTCAGCAGAAGGCTCTAAACAAGTAGCTTGGGGAGTGTTCAAAACCGCATTAATAGTACTGAACAGCACAGCTGGCTTATGAGAGTTCTTACAGATAACATTTGAGAGATACTTTGATTTCTCAGATCTAACAGTTTTTTGATATTTAGACAAGTTCTCCTTTAAAATATCGAAAGAAATCTGCAATTTATCCTTCTTCCAGCGGCGTTCCGCCCTTCTACACTCAAGCCTTACAGCTCGAGTAGTAGCATTCAGCCACGGTTGAACTCTAGGTTTTTCTCGAACCGTCCTAAAAGGGGCCACTGTATCCAAAATACTTTGGCAGGTTGAAGAGAACAGTGAGGACAATGTGGCAAAGTCGTCAGCTGTTAGAGTTGATGAAGGAGGGGGAGGAGGAGGACAAAGGAGGGAGAAAAATGTTTTAAAGAGCATGCGAGAGTTAGGCGAATTGTTAATTTTGTTGTGATAGTATGTCCTTTTAGCAGTGGAGACATTAGCAGAGAATGAAGAGAGGAGTGATCGATATATACATTAAGGTCAGTAGGATTTTGTGATTTGCGCCATACTCTGTCTGCAGCTCTGAGCTTAGAACGATGCTCACGGAGAACATCAGATAGCCAAGGGGCAGAAGAGGTGGTACGAGCT